TTCCCTCCCGGGACTCTGCTGCCTGACCTCCCGCCTCCTGGGGCTCTTAGCCCAGCACCACTTCACTTTCTATTCAGTTAACATGAGCCAGTGAAGTGGTGAAACCCACATCAAAGTTTATGTCTAAAGACAGTAAGTAGTTTTAAGGTCTAAGTGGATGGACTTTTAAATATATATACTAGAGACCTGGTGCATGAAATTCGTGCACTCCGGGGCGGGGGGGGGCGGGGGGTCCCCTCAGCCTGGCCTGCACCCTCTCGCAGTCTGGGAGCCCTAGGGGGATCTCCGACAGACATCCTTAGCGCTGCTGCATAGGCGGGAGAGGCTCCTGCCACCTTCACTGCGCTCTCCAGCCGTAAGCCCAGTTTCTGGCTGAGCGGCGCTTGGGGGATCTCCGACAGTCAGACATCCTTAGCGCTGCTGCATAGGCGGGAGAAGCTCCTGCCACCTTCACTGCTCTCTCCAGCCGTAAGCCCAGTTTCTGGCTGAGCGGCGCTCCGACAGTCAGACATCCTTAGCGCTGCTGCATAGGCGGGAGAAGCTCCTGCCACCTTCACTGCTCTCTCCAGCCGTAAGCCCAGTTTCTGGCTGAGCGGCGCTTCTGCTGTGGGAGTGCACTGACCACCAGGGGGCAGCTCTGCATTGAGCATCTGCCCCCTGGTGGTCAGTGCATGTCATAGCCACCAGTCGTTCGCCATCAGGCCAAAACTGGCTCTTGGACATCTCCCGAGGGTTCCCGGATTGTGAGAGGGGCCAGGCCAGGCTGAGGAACACCACCAGTGCACGATTGGGGCCGGGGAGGGACGCGGAGGTTGGCCAGCTGGGCAGGGACCGTGGGAGGGCTCCAGGGTGTGCCCGGCCCGTCTCGCTCAGTCCCGATTGTTCGGACCCCAGCAGCAAGCTAACCTACTGGTCAGAGCATCTGCCCCCTGATGGTCAGTGCACGTCATAGCGAGCGGTTGAGTGGCCTTAGCATATCATTAGCATACTAGTGGCCCCGTGCACAAAATTCATGCACGGGGCCGGGGGGAGTTGTCCCTCAGCCTGGCCTGCACCCTCTCCAATCTGGGATCCCTTGAGGAATGTCTGAACTGGCAGTCGGACATTCCTCTCGCAATCCAGGACTGCTGGCTCCTAACCACTCACCTGCCAGCCTGCCTGATTGCCCCTAACCATTCTGTCTGCCAGCCTGCTCACCCCAACTACCCTCACTTACTGGCCTCATTGCCTTCAACTCCTCCCCCCCCCCCCCACACCCATTC